TATAACTATCCCTGAGCTTCACCCTGGTTTGACCCCTATTTATGCCTTTCCATCTATAAATGTAGAGCTGCCTTCTATCCTTTCATAAGGATACAGAATGGCTTCAGTCCTCTCACCTCTACAGCTGAAAGCAACCCTGTAGTCAACTCCTACACAAGTAACACTCATGTCAACAAGTCTGCTGCTTCAGCTCCTATCTGGAAGATGACTTGGTTCCTTCCTTTCTCCCATCAATACAATTTTTATTTCCATCAGCCTACTTCTTAAACTTCTGTCTTTTACTCTCAACATTCACTTTGTAACATCAAAATGAGTGGGTTCATATATTGTGTGCATGCATATGCTTTCGTGTGCACATTTGTGTGAGCATGATGTTTGGTTTGTGAGTTAATATAAGTAATTACCTTTGGAGTTAAAAAAGAACTTGTGTTCATGGGGCTGGAGAGATGGCTCAGTAGTTAAGAGTTCATACTGATCTTGCAGAGGACCCAGATTCAGTTTCTAGCACATAGGTCAGCCTACACACAAGCATCTGTAATACCAACTCCAATGGAATCAGAAGCTTCTGGCTTCTGTGGTAAATTGACTCACCTACATGTACCCACTGGAAGACACACAAATACACAGCCATATATAGACACAAATAAAATGATAACAAATCTTAAAAATAGAGAATCTGTGTTCCCCTCCACCACAATACCAAAGAAAAACAGATTGCCTTGTAAATTAGTGCCACTGAATCTCCATCACCATGTGACCTTACTGTAATCTAAGAAGTTCTGGTACTGTTTGTGCTTCTGACAAACTGTGTTTGCCACGGGCATTGTTGCTCTTAGCAGACATCGAGGGAAAAAAGACTCACTTATGCCTACTAATCCCTAAGACAAAACATAAGAAAAGGCAATATTGTGATTGTTTAGAGTAGCATTGCCAAAAGAAGACGCAGCAAATGACAGTACTCCACAGCAAGAGGCTACTCTCTGTAACAGGGGCATTTGAGAGGGTTTATGTCTTGAATGACCAAGGAAGAAAGTTATTTCTGTTCATTCTTAGTACTCATTGTGTATATTTTAATCTTATGTAGCAAAGTGGCTTAGAACCATTTTCATCAAAATATCGTGTACACCCAGATATCAACACTTCCCAAATAACATTTGTTCTATTAGTTGCAAAATAAGATGCTAAAGCAATGGGAAATATTTCAAATATTTATTAGATGACAAAAAAAGCATAAAGTTTCTCTACGAATTTGCTAGAAAGATAGCATGGCAGTAGTAATTAAAAACCAAACTGAAGCAAGAAGAGTAAATTAAAGGATAATCCATATTAAAATACATTTTGATAATGGGTTACAGATGTTAAAGATAAAAAATAAATGGTCACAGAAGCTTCTTAAACATTCCTACTGGTGTCAGAGAAAATGGGATGCATGTTTCTGGAATAAGAGCCAAGAACATGACCACATTCTAATTTCATCAATTCACTCAGTAGAAGCTGGAGAATCCATATCTTCCACAGCATGAAGGGCGGCAGCATCCATATCCGTAGCCTCCGTACCCAGAGCCAAATCCATAACCTCCGTAGCCAGAGCCAAATCCATAACCTCCACAACCACAGCCATAGCCCAGTCTGCGGATGCTATTACATCCACAGCCGCAGCCTCCATAGCCGTAGCCCAGGCCTCTGAATCCTCCGTAGCCATAACCCAGGCCTCCAAAGTAGCCGCTGTAGTAGCTCATGGTGCGGGGAGTAGTAGGTTTGTTCTGTTGTTTAAGGAGAGATTGTCGATGTGAGAAACAGCACCTACAGCAAAGCTTATATACTCTGGGCAAAAGCATGCACCCCTCCTTTGTGCCATTCCAGGAATTGTAATTAGCTGAGACAGCGCATTCATCCCTGTCATCTGACCAACACCTGTTGAGAATATTTAAGATTTATTTGGCTACCTAGTGAGTTTGTCTCAGTACTGACAGCCTTAACCTTATTAGACAGAGTCATTGTACCTTCCAAGTACAAAGAAAATAGACCGTAAGAAAAATTGCTATTATTAGACAATACCAAACACATTAAGTACTCTTGAATGAAAATTAAAATTGTTCTAGAACATTTTCGGGGGGGCATTGTTATATTTTGAGTCTCAAAAATTTGCAAAATAGCCTAGATCGAGATTGAAATGTAACAACATTTTCAAGAGAATAACATATTTTGTGTCATGTGAGGCAAGAATTCATGAATTCATGAGTCAAGACTCATAAATTGTCACCTGATTTCTATAAGTATAAGATTTTGAGTATGCATGATTTTCATATTTATTTGAGGATTTATATTCAATTATGCAATATTTGTTTTTGTTTAGCAACACACCACAATTGAAATTCCAGTGACATTGGTTAAAAATCCACTGAGCTTCTTGGCAAACTCCCCCTAAACTCCTTCACCTGGCTCCCCAGGAAATCTAGCTTCAGGTGCCCCACAGATGACATCTGTGTCTGCTCTATTCATCTTGTTTCTTCCTTGAACTGCTATTGGTGATTTCTTGTTTTCAGGTCTCATTTCAAATATCTTCTAACTTCAATTTCCCACTGTTTATCTCCACCCAGGCTAAGGGATGAGTTGGTAAAATGGACTGGGCTATAGCTTACTTACCCAAGTCAATACTGCTTAGTTCTCAGGACAAAACATGTACTTTTCACACCGCTTTGCCTGGTTGTGATTTTCTGTTGTTGTAGTTGCTTTTAGGTATTATTTTGAGGTAATGTTTCTTACCTAAACTTTCCAAAATATTAATAATTATTTATTACTTAAAACATACTTTAACACATAAAACACTCTGAACATTTAATAAGACATGTCAAACCCCAAAAGGTATTAAATTCAATAACTAAGATTCAATCAGAAAAGGGGAGTGTATAATAAGATACTCTTTCAGAATGTTGAAGGCCTGGTGTTCAGTCTTCCTTTGGTTCATCCCAGTGAGGTGGCAATGCCCAAGGCTGAATTTGAAGTTTCCCAAACCTCACCCACATGTAGCCACATCTTGAAAGCTGAGTCTCGTATAATTTATTTTATGACTATAATTACACTGTTAAGTTTTCTTGGTATTTATTATAATTTTTAAATGACACAGTTTTTAAGACTGTACTATTCCATTTATGAAGGAACACATTCTTTTTTTCTAATAGGAATGTTTATTTGATCTTACCTAGTGTTAAAGCTTCACAGTCAGTTGGCACTTAAGAACTTATATGAGTGGAGAATCTGACTATTGGTGACATCAAAGCATGGATCAATATGAATAGAATACATGACTATCTGTGATAAAGCATAGACCACTTAAAGAATAACTCAAGTAACTTGAGAAATATTTTCAGCTTGGCATGAACTCCACCCATGTTTCCATGACTGACAGAGCAATACAGCAACACTAACCTTTCTCTTAGTGTCTGAGCCACTCCAGCCAAACCTCATTCCAAGGCAGGTACAGCCTTTTGAAACTACAGCAAGATAGTGACATCTCTCACATCCATGATCATGAACCACGTACTAGAGTTATGTTCTAAGTAAGTTTGGTTACTTACTTAGAGTGTAAGTAACCATGTGATGGTTTAGAACTCTAACTAAATCACAGCTAAGAATTTCACATCACTGTTCTAGAACTCTCTCTGATAGTGTAACTTGTTAACTACACTTTCCCAATATGTTGAGATATAAGATCATCCTATGTGTGGAAACAGTATGTGATACAAATGACAAGCCCTTCAGTCCTTCGAAAAATATTAAGCATATTTTCGTGGAAGTAGATGTAAAACTGTGCTATGCAAAATTTATTTCTTCATTAAAACAATAAATGTACTTTGAAGAAATTATAAAAATATACCACTGTTTTCCTATGAACACAAGATAAGAAAAATACCTTTTGCAGTATTTGTTGAGGATCCCATACTTTTTCTATCCATTTATTGGATCAAAAGAATAATTATACTGTTATTATTTGCTTAGAAGTATCAACTTCTGACTTACATAAGTTTTTATGTATTTTATTTTATTTTAATGAATAGAAGGGTGTAAAATATTATCACTGTTTGTAGAAGTGTTAAATCTTTTTTAAAAAAAAGGTTTCTTCTCAACCTAGAAATTGATAATAAATCTTAAAGAAAACAGAATTGTTACAATATTGACTAAATGAAGAATGTCAACATCAGTAATAATTTATTTTTCTTCTTTACAGCCTTGTGGTAACTATTCAAAAAAGGGTATTATCCTATTCAGAAAGAAAATATCTCCTGGGAAATTCTATGATACTGGAACAGTCTACCAACTAAGCCCTCAACAGCATTACTGAGTGCCATTTCACTGGCTCAGCCCACAGTGGTGGTCCATCCCGACTTATAACAGCATAAACTGAAAGTTCAGGTCATGGCAAGTTTTCACTGAGAGATGGGTTTTAAAAACATTGCAGATTGGCTAGTTACATTCCCAAGTAGATAACCTGGCGATTGATTAATTCAATTCTCCATTTCAACAAAATAAACTTTTTAATGAGGCAAGTGTTTACACAGGTCATGATCTGAGAAAAGTTACAAACTTAGAAAGAAGGGAATATTGCTTTAGGACTTGTGTTTAGCATGTACTGGTTAAGTCAGGGGTATCATATTACTATCTCCTTACCATTTCATTAATATTAAAATATTATCCCTCCTGCTGTCTCTCTCTTGTTGTCTATCTATCTATCTATCTATCTATCTATCTATCTATCTATATCTGTATACTTCTGTGTTTGTGTATTTATTTACATATATATTCTTATATACATTTTTGTACTTAACAGATATCAACATTTAAATGAAATGAGCCAGACGAAAATCATATTTCGCTTTCTTATTTAATCATTTATTGGCAATTGAACATAAATTCGCTCTTAGTCTTCAAACATAAAATGTGGACACATTTCTCAGAACATCTAGTCAAGGTATCAAATGCTGAGTTACTAGAACAGGATCTCAGTAGAAGCTGGAGAACCCATATCTTCCATAGCATGATGGGCGGCAGCAGCCATATCCATAGCCTCCGTACCCAGAGCCAAATCCGTAGCCCCCATAGCCAGAGCCATATCCGTAGCCTCCGTACCCAGAGCCAAATCCGTAGCCCCCATAGCCAGAGCCATATCCATAACCTCCATAACCACAGCCACAGCTCAGTCTGCGGATGCTATTACATCCACAGCCGCAGCCTCCATAGCCGTAGCCCAGGCCTCCGTAGTAGCCGCTGTAATAGCTCATGGTGTTGTGAGAGGTAGGTTTGATCTCCTGTTCAAGGTAAGATCCTGAGTGTGAATGGTAACAAGTATAGGGGAATGCTTATATACTCTGTGCCGAACACGTGACACAACTCGTGAGTACTATTTTCTTTCATTCCAAGTTATTAATGTACTAGAGACACCTCATTAATCTGTTTGCTAGCACAAAGAGAGGCATAGAACTCATTAAAATATTTCAGCTTGCTGCTCTGCCTACTTAGAATGCCCTTGAACTCACTGTATCCTATTTTATGAGAAACTGTCAACACCTTCAAAGTTAGAAAATTTGTTCTTGTAGAGGAATTTGTTATTATGCTTATTATATTATTCATATCACCAGACATTCTTTCTAAATATTTTCTCATTTCTAGTTCTATTTCATTCATTTAATTTGAAATATCTAATAACCATCTAGATTATAATAAGTGATTGTGTTTAAAACATTCAAATGTTCTATAATCTTCAAATGTGTTTTTCAGATTGATAAGGGAAGTAACTGAACTCTTTCAAAAGAATATATGTTCTAGATGAATGAGCATAATTATGATAAATATATAAAAAGAAAAAGAAAATATAGGAAGAATTAAAACTACTTTTAATTTATCCATGATCATAAAAAAATTTTTTTCTTGGCTTATCAGAATACTAAAATTTTACACAGAAACAGAAAGGTCCACAAGACATTACATTCACTCTAGAAACAGTCTAAAAAGATTTTAAAAATGTATTCCCTTCATACCATTCCCCATTTTATCACTTACATAGATTGTATTCTACCTTCAGTGTGGTCAGAATTTCGCTTCATGACTTCCCCTCATTGACCCCTCTTTCTCATATCCTTACTCTACCATCATCTGGATCAATCCACTCTTTACCTCATAATTTGCACTTATTTTGTATTTATTATAGTGCCAATTGGGAATTTAGTTATTACCCATTTATTTTTTTTAAATAGACTTTTGTCTTTTTGTCCACATACCTAAAGTTATCACGATACATTTTCCCTTACACTGTATTTTCGACTGTGCATGCATTGTCTACGTTACTTTGTTTTAGTAAACAAGTTCACAAGTGTTCTAGACATTGCTTACTTGTAAATGATTAAATACTTAAGAAAGCATTTCTGTACTTTGGTGGTCGAACACTATTTTAACGGGATGCTTTAAATTTCTCAGAACTTATAACTCTCCAAATATGAATGGCAATGCTGAATGTACTGGACTGCAAAAGAGAATGCAAGGGGAGCCTGTCACTTTGCTCAGACTTCCCAATCTTAACCTTGAAAAGAGGAAATCAATACAAACTTAATTATCATTAAAATACAATAATATCTTAAGCTCTGGGTTTTAATTAGTATGTCCGTTTATGTGACATTGAATATATACCAGAGAACATGTTGTTTTATCTCTGATTTTATTATTTGAAAATAGGATTCATGATACTATCTTTTCTCCAATGGATTAGTCAACTTTTCTTCCAAGGAAAACAGTAATCCTGTTGGGTAAACAAAACAAAAGCGATGAATTGTGTCTGGTGCAGCATGAATGAGGAGGCTGTAAGTAAGCTTTCTCCCAAGTAAAGTGCAATTCAAAATAGCTTACAGCATTCAAAAGAATATTTAAACTAATGTTTTCTATTCAGGTAAATTCTTTTGCTGATTTATCCAAGTTTATTCTACTGTTCATTGTGGGGAAAATGAGCAGAAAAACATACCATTCTCAGTGAGTCATTTTTTAATTTATTTTTATTTTATGTACACTGGTGTTTTGCCTGAATGTCTGTCTGTGTTAGGGTGTCAGATTTTGGAGTTGCAGACAGTTGTGAGCTGCCATGTGGGTGCTAAGAATTGAATCCAGGTCCTTCTGGAAAAGCAGTCGTTGCTCTCAACTACTGAGCCATTTCCCCATCTCTTTCAATGAGTTATTATTAACTCCAACAACAGTAAGTACATTGAAAAGTTGAAAGAATCGTATGAATGTTGAGGCAAGTGTGATGGGTGTGTGCATATGATGAAAGACTCATTCACATTCCTGTTTTATGTACATAATGAGGTGCACTCAGATTAAAATAGATATTACAGATGAGAATGAGCTCAACTCTGGTAGAGGTCTGGTTTCATTTTCAAAATTTCAAAGAAACAGCAAGTAATATATAAATGTGTCTTGCCTCTTTGTATACATACTCATTCAAGTAAAAACAGACATGTTTAAGGATAAAGAGGAAAAGAAAGTCATGAAATATATACATCAAAATGTCAAAGCTGGATATAGTGATGTACAAACATTCACCTGCACTCAGGAGACACAGGCAGCGCCTTGAAAACTGAGAGCTTTGTTCTGTGCTAATGTGTGATTTTGGTTTAATCTGGGGTGATTTCACAGAATTCTGGATATTGGCTGAGCTATGCACAATGGTAAATAAACAAGGAAGGTCATTTCAGTGATGCGATAGGAGAAACATCAATGTGCTATCTACAATAAAATTGTGGAGATCAGTTTTCTTCTCATAGAACTCATAAACCTACTCACAAATAATAGCTCTAAAAATAGTTTGGGAGTTACGTAATGATGTGGGAGTCCCCTCTGTGCACTGTGATTACCACTAATGAATAAAGAAACTGCTTTGGACCTATAGCAAGGCAGAACTTAGGTAGGCAGGGAAAGCTAGGCTGAATCCTGGGAGGAAGAAGGCAGAATCAGGGAGAAACCATGGATCCACTGCCTGAGACAGATGCTGGGAACTTTAGCTGGTAAACCACGTGGTGATACACAGATTAATAAAAATGGGATGAATTAAAATGTAAGAGTTGGCCAATAAGAAGCTAGAGCTAATGGGCCAAGCAGTGTTATAAATAATATGGTTTTCTGTGTAATTATTTCGGGTCTAAACTAGCCAGGAAACCAGGAAACAAGAAGCACCCTGTTCCAACAAACTAAAAGACAGATGTTTGGATTTCATTTCTTTACTATGTTGTGGATTAAGAAGAAAAAAGTCCTATCACAGAGCTGAAGTGAAATAAGTTAAGCAGTCAAATGAGCAAGTGTAGCTAAAAGATCCTGAATTAAATATGACCTGGCCTCAGATGAAAAATTACCCTGTTTAATTAATAACACAGATCAATGGCACAATCAGTTATCAAATAAGAATGTGCAGAAGAGTTGGGTGAAATTTCAGAATTCAAAATTTTTCTTGCAGTGAAGTAGTTTACTTTTCCAGTTGGCTTAATGATATGGTTTAATCTAAAATATTTTATTGATCTATATTTAAAGGGCCAGACCTGTTGAATGGATGAATTGAAAAATACTTCTAAATGGAATAAAACTCGAGTAACATATGAAGATATGGTTCTGGTGACAGCTGCTTCTTGTTAACTTGAATATTAGTATTGTCCAGTGAAAATAACAGGAAAGTATTACTTTTTTATTTTACGGAAGCTGTCTGTTAGTTCACTCCCAAACTATCTACTATCTGCGTGTTTATGGACTCTCTCCTTCACAATGGTATTGTCAAGATTCACCAGCATGCATACATAATTAAATTTATGAAATAATATTTTGGTTCCAAATTAGAATGATTTATTAGAAGATGAAGAGAGAATCAGAGCAGTTACCAACAAAATTAAAGAATTCTGTGATTATGGTATCATTGGGAAAATACTCAATTTATATTCACAAGCAGCCCCATCATGTACTCGGCTATAGAGTGAGCGAGGCCATCTTTGGAGAGTTCCATTATTGTTTATATGTTGAATATAAAAGCAATTTACTAGAGTCCAGAGATTCCATGTCCTAGGCATGATGGTGGCGACATGTATCCACAGCCTCCATAGCCAGACTCAGAACCACAGTTTCCACAAACACAGGCCCTCCCCAGACTGCCAGGGTCTCCACATCTGTAACCACATCCAGAGTTCTAGAGCCTGAAGCCTGCATAGCTACAACCTATGCTGCACATTAATTACCATGCTTGTTCATGGTGTCCAGAGTGGCAAGTTTATCTGTTTACAGTAAGATACTGAGTCTGACAATTGAAATATGCTCACATATGTTCTTTACCATCCCAGGCAATGAAATCAAATATTTGTCATTTGTTCTCAAATTTTCATGTGATTTTGTGTACCACACTTGACAGAGTCCTGGTGGATGAAGGAGCCGCCCAACTCAATGTGTGAGTTTGAACTGCATTCAGCTCATAGTGCTCCTGAAACCAATTGCATCACTTTTACAGGAAAAAAAAAATCTGTCTTCAAAATCTGGACCCACTGAGTCCTAAACTCAGCTGTTCATAGACAAAGCAAATAACAGAGTTGTAATGTTATGTGGAAATTAAATATCCCTTGATATCTAGATTTCATTAATTATTCTGCTTTGCTTTTCATTAAATGAAATAATGTAATTAAATTCAATGTATTATACCCATTCAAATCCATCTTATTCCTACATTTGAGTTTCTTGTCAAATGGTAGGAAACATTTAACAGCTCTGAAGGCATTTTCCTCCCTGCTGTGTACAACAGTTGTTAACTTCAACGGTTTCAAAAAGATGAAATGTATTTACCAGTTTTTCATCATCTTTTATTATTATTTTAGAGCACTGACCCTCATAACCAGTAAGCTTTACTTTAATAATCATTTAAAAGAAAAATATTTTATATGTAAACATGGCTTAATCTTTTAAACATGATAGGCAGTTCATAATAATTAGAGATTTTTTAAACATTCTTACAAACCATTAAAATTTTAACTTTTTAGTTTTTTTTTTTTTTTTTTTTTTTTTTTTTTTTTTTTTTTTTTTTTTGAGACAGGGTTTCTCTGTGGTTTTGAAGCCTGTCCTGGAACTAGCTCTTGTAGACCAGGCTGGTCTCGAACTCACAGAGATCCGCCTGCCTCTGCCTCCCAAGTGCTGGGATTAAAGGCGTGCGCCACCACCGCCCGGCAAATTTTAACTTTTTAATAATGACCATTTTGCTGATTATTAGCTATACAAAGCATTGTCATAAAGTTATCAAAAGATTACAGCCTCCTTGCCCACAACTGTGACCACTACTACCACATATCCTCAAACCCATTCCTCCCTTCTAACCAGTTGCTCTGAGTACCCAGTACTACAGATTTCTTTCTGTGTTCAGTTTTCATCCAAGACTTTATTTTCATATAAAATACATGATATCAGAAGTAATACATAACTACTTTCACAATAATCATTTTATTTTCCTTCCATTTGCCTATTATATGTTTATTTACAAAATAATAGTTAACTGGTGACTTGGGATATAAAATATTTATTGGAACCTCAGATATTGAGAATATTCTGCTATAAATGACTGTAAAATTCAGTAACCCTTTACCTTGAAGATGTCTTGAGAATCTCCAAAAATAAGCGTGATATAAAAAGATACAATGGGAAAGATGATATTTGGATAAAATGATTTTCAGCCATCCTTATTACCCTCATCTGTGTAGATACTCAAGTATGATGTAAAGTTCGCCTAGTCTTGACTCACAGTTGGTCTCAAGGTCAAGTTTAAACATAAGTGACCTTGCCTCTCTGTCTTTGCATATAGAGGCAATTTTTGTAACCTTTAATTCCACTTCTGTTATCTATGAAGGTATCCATTTTCTGTGAAATACCAGACTTATTTTAAAATTTGTGTCAGAGGATATCTGATGGTTTTGATCATTGTTATACATCACTATAGGTTACATATTTGTGTTCTATGTCTTCCATACAGCCTCTCACCTGCGTGTGTGCGTGTGTGTGTGTGTGTGTGTGTGTGTGTGTGCGCGCGCGCACGCGCTCACATATATCCAACACATGCAGGAATTTTTAATAACATTAAACATTAGTATTTTCTACATTTTTCATTTTAGCTGTTTGCTCTAGATGGAAAATATCCCAGTAATTTGAATATTTTATCCTTATTAATTCAAGCTGAAGCCAAAAACTTACAAATAAATCAAGTATGTTTTAGAATGTCACATTTTACTTTCTTGGATTTGGCAGTTATTTACCTGTTTGGAGTCTGATAACTTATTGTGATGTGTTGTCCATAAGATAAGCATATCCATCCCCCAGAAAATAAGATATTCTGAATCCTGCTGTTTATTTCTGTATACATTCACAGAAGTAATAAATAAATATCTAATATTACAATAATTCTGCCTTGTACTGTGTCTAATACATTCACCAAGATGTTGTACTGATCACTCTTTTTTATTATTACAGTTAGTCCCTATCAATATTATGGAAAAATACTACTAATAACTAGAAAAATAAAACCTGTTGTTATTTCCCGCCCAACACCATAAGCCTCCGATACAGTAACTAGGTGTCATTACTCTGATGGATTCCAGTAAAGCAGCACACTTTGAAAGCAAGGACTCAAAGATGATCACCATAGCTGGGTAAAGAAATATTTGGGTTAAGGATTCTATTACTGTGATTAATAAGAAAGTCTGGCAATATTACTTGCTACTCATTTTAATTCATACCAAATGAAACTGATGATGTGGTATTCCCTTCTGTATGATGTGAATACCATTGGTTAATAAAGGACTGTCTAGGGCCTGTGCATGGCAGAATAGAGGTAGGCAAGGAAAACTAAACTGGATGCTGGGAGAAAGAAATGGAGCTGCCACTGGAGACAAACATGTTGAAACTTTGCCAGTAGGCCACAGTACATGGTGATACACAGATTATTAAAAATGGGTTAAATTCTTGATATAAGAGCTAGCCAAGAAGAAGCTAGAGCTAATAGGCAAAGCAGTGGTTTCAATAATACAGTTTCTGTGTGGTTATTTTAGGGATGAGCAACTGGGAGGAAACAAACAGCCTCGTACAACAAACTAGGTTTATCAATATATGTGCATATATATTTGTGTGTGTGTGTGTATATATATATATATATATATAGTGTGTGTGTGTGTGTGTATGTGTGTGTGTTACAAAAAGGCTTGAATATGCAAAGTCAGAAAATCATTGTCATCTCAAATGCCTCGATTTTTTTTGTAGATAGATCTATTTTGATGTGAAATAACTTATTTTGAAAATACTCAGTAAACAAAATATAAAACAAGATCCAAAGACAGCATTTCCATGAACACATGATTAAATAAATACCACATATGCTGATTTCCAATAGAATAATTTATTGCAAACTAAACCAGAATCTTCTATACATATTAAAGCAGGGAATCTCTATAAGCATGGTTAGATAATTAGCCTTCTTAAAACCTTGAACTCTTCAGATTTTCTTGACTTAGTCCAAAGTGGTATTGGTCCAATACTTCATTGATTTGGTTAATCTTCTCATGGTCTCAGCTGTTGGTTTTCCAAGTCAGTCTTTCAGTAGAAGGTGGAGAACCCATATCCTCCATAGTAAAGTGGGCGGCTGTAGCCATAGCCATAACCTCCAAAGCCAGAGCCATACCCATAGCCACCAAAGCCATAGCCAGAGCCCAGTCTATGGTAACTGCCACTTCCATAGCCATAGCCCAGGCGCCCGAAGCCTCCATAGCCATAGCCCAGGCCTCCAGAGTAGCTGTTGTAGTAACTCATAGCGTCAGAGATGAAGAGTTTGGTATGAAGTTCAAGGTAAGATCTTGAGCATAAGTGTGTGGGTCAAGCTTATATACCCTAAGAAGAACACATGATCTTTTATATGTATTCCCTCCTTTAGCATCATTTTTCTTTAATTATAGCTACTTAAAAACTACTAATTATTGCACTGTCTACTGGCAAGAAGAGTCTCTTTTACGTTCTTTAAACTATTGAATGTGCTTAGCTGCCGAAATAGTATGGCCCTTAAAATCTTCTCATCATGTAATGGGATGGAGTCGTTGCATCTTCAAAGTCTGCATATACCAAGCCACTAAATAGAACTCCTCAAAGCTGGCATGTGTTAGTGATCACATCTAACAATGTCTTGTCCTCAATTAAATCTGTTCATACTCAGTATTAGATCCTTAACTTACAAATTAAATCAAAGTTCAATTAGAGGCTTGCATTCTGTTTTACTCTACAAGAGTATTTTATTCCTCAGACTCTAAAGTAAATTAATGATCTGTTTTTGCGAACCGGGAAGAACACACGTGAAAGGCAGAAGGAATCAATTTTACAGTGTTGGAACAGTAATGAACTTTGGGTAATAAAAAAAATGACTGCTTTGCTTTTGCCCATTTTAGACTATTGATTACGTAATTGCTATTTGCTTTACATACTCTTTCATTTGGATTTTACAATTGGTAAAACAATGTTGATAGTCTATTAAAGTCAACACTTAGTCTATCAGGTTTAACTGTTATTATGGGATAGCTCTATAAGTTTTTGCAACAGTGTGAAAAAAATACAAAACAGAAGTCATATCTCAGTAGTAAAAATTGGTTTCAAATAGTAGTTTTAAAGCTCGTGAGACATTATCTTAAATCCTGACACTCTTCTCTACACATATATGTAATATGTTGCCAAAAGGGCCCAGAATCTTATTGTCTGGTGTTGACCTGACTTCAACTACCAGTTCGTAACCCATTTATAAGATTATTCCATGTGCCTCTTTTGCTTCTTAATCAACTTTATATTTGGGAGACTTTTACATTTCAGAAAATAATGAGTATAAACACGATAGTCCTCATTACCTCCCCCAACACACATAGTAGTGTCCCTCTGTAAACAGATTTCAATATGATTGCACACTCATCACAGAGGATATGAGAATTGTGACAGACTGCCATTATCCAAATCTCACAGTTCAATTAGAGTTTGTATTTATATTTTGCATTTCTGTGGGCTTTGACAACTTTATGGAGTCATGCAAACATGAACCCAATATCATATAAAATATTTTCACTGAGATAAAAGCAATCTGTTTTTCATACAGTCTTCACTTAGCACACCTCACAATATTCTGGAAAATATTGAGTTTTTATTGCTTGTAGTTGTTTATGGTTCTTAATTTTTTCCAGAATATCATGTAGTCAGAGTCATATAGCATCAAACCTTTTCACCATGACTTCTTCATTTAGCCAAACACTTTTTTAAGGGTCTTCCTTTCCTTCCTTATAAGCCATTTCTGTTTTATCTCTAGCTATGTTCCCCTCTCATGAATATAAGTTTGTCTATCTACTTACTTTAAAAGAAATGTTTATTGTTATATACTTTTGTTAATCATGAAAACAACTTCAATAAATCTTTTGTTCATATCTTCATGAGCACATAAAGCTCATCTGGGTAAGCATTAAGAAGGAAAATTGCTGAGTTATCTCTAAAGAATATGTTTAGCTGTGCAGGAAATTGACATAGTCTTCCTACTGTGCTGTATTCATTTGCAGTCCTGGCAGCAATAGACATTCCCTTTGCTCCACACCCAGATCGTCACTTGTTGCAGTCAGTGGTTGAAACTTAACTGATATATATGTTAATATAATGTTCCTAGTATCACCCACTCCATGTCATTTCACAAGTCTGTATATTTGGTGAAATAAAATTTTGGAAGCCCTCTGTTTTTATTCAATATAGCTAATTCTTTTCACTAACTTCTTATATGTACATTTTCACCGTAACAGTTCCATGCTCCCTTTACCTGTTCTGTGCTTTTTATCTACTATGTTAGAGCAGTAGTATAAATAAGTACTGAATATATTTCAGATTCTAGTCCTTACAAGTAGGCATTGTGCCTCTCACTGTCTTGTATAATTTGCTAAATGCATACATATATTCAGGATTTAAAAAGAGTTCCAATGGTTTCTGATATCAAAAGAGCATAAAACTATCAGTGTATTTCATCTTCATTTGCTCTTAAGTATATTGTATGAGGTGATAAATTACATGATAAGCATTTAAGCATGATATTTGATGAATTGTTTTTACTTGTCTCCCTTATAACTTTTTTTTTTTTGTTTTTTTTTTTTTTTTGTTTTTTCGAGACAGGGTTTCTCTGTGGTTTTGGAGCCTGTCCTGGAACTAGCTCTTGTAGACCAGGCTGGTCTCGAACTCACAGAGATCCACCTGCCTCTGCCTCCCGTGCGCCACCACCGCCTGGCTTCCCTTATAACTTTCAATGGCCAGTGAACTACATTCAACTTTGATCCAAAAATAACAATTAAAAAATTCCAGAAGTGTCATAAACTTCAAATTGTTTACCATTGTAGATAACATTAACTTTGATTCTATTCATTGTCTTCATATCTGGCATATCCCCTTGTTAAGCTGTATAAAGCTACAGACCAGTTAGCTGTTTACGCATCTCAGTCATTAGAACAATTGCGATGGAATCTCACAGTATGGAATCCTTGTGTGGTTAATGCCATATCACAATGCCAGCATCATGCATCTGACTTAATTGCATGTACAAACACTGTACCATCTTACATTCTCAAGATAAGGATGATTACAGTACTTTTATTAAGACAGACTACTCTCATATAAAACTTTAAAAATTCATAATTGCAATTATTAATCTCTCTTTTGTATTATATAAATTTAATTTTCCCATTCAAATATTTTTTAAAGATTTATTTATTATGTATACAAGATTCTGTTGATGTATGCTCGCACACCAGAGAAGCTCACCAGATCTCAGTACAGGTGGTTGTGAGCCACCATGTGGTTGCTGGGAATTGAACTCAGGACCTCTGGATGAGCAGCCAGTACTCTTAACCTCTGAGCCATCTCTCCAGCCCCCCATTCAAATATTTAACAAAGAAAATGATATTTAGAAAGTTTTACATGTCATGATGTTGATATTGAATTAATATCCTTTTGGTCCTTGGGAAAATAACTAAATGTGTCTATACTAATAAGAACAAACTTACTCTAATTCTCAAATCATCAAATATTGCTATTTCTTTTTGGTAAGCATATCGCTCCCAAGAGACAGTAATTTTTTCTAGGATTTAAGCACTTCTTCAGTTGATCTTGTCAGTAGATTCAGGGTAGGCTCCAAAGCCACAGAGAAACCCTGTCTCAAAAAAGGAAAAAAAAAGTGCAGAGTAAGTAGTAGTGGAGTGGCTCAGTCAGAAACAGAACGTTTGTATCCCAATCCTCACTCCACGTTTTAGGCGTCTTTGGCAAAGAGTGAATGGAAAAAATTTAGGAGCCAAAATACAGGAAGATTTGCAGAGAAACAGAATGTTTTTTTATCATGACCAGACCCTCTTACTCAAGAACTACCAATAGCTATTGCTGCCTACACAGTGAGATCAAGTCAGTCACCATTCTACTGAGTGTGAGATCATGAAGTCCCACTTCTAACTGAGAAACTATGGAGTAATGATGGCTTCTAAGAAAGAAGGAATCATTGTTCCTTAAGGGTTTGGTTCTTGGTAACTCAACCTTGCTGTACTGCCCCATACCCAAAGCAGGTGGACAACAAAATTTTAGTCTATGGGGTATTTTTTTTTTTAATAATTGAAGATTATGGAGGTGGATGGCTCTGGAAGAATTTAACATGACTAGTTGGAATGAATATGATCAGAATACATTGTAAGAATCTATCAAAAATTAATGCAGATACCAAATACATTGTTAAAACACATTCTTTTTAATTCAGTGCCATGTCTTAGTAGGAGACTTGTGTGTAGGCATAATTATCACATTATAGGACATATAGTGTATATAATATATAGTGCAGCACTTTCTTCACAGACAACTAAATACAACGACAAAACGCTACTATGATATTTGTACTTTATCATATGAATTATTTTGTCTGTGTGTGTGTGCGTGTAGTGTGTGTTGGAGGATTTGCTCACTTGCACATTTGCAGACATCATAGGAAGACATAAACAGCAATACCCTATCACTCTCTGCCTTGTTCTCATAGAATGAGAAACTTACCCTACCTTATTATGCCTGGTTTTGTTCGGTTTGGCCAGGCAGGCTGACCAGCAAACTCTAGACCAGTGGTTCTCAACCTTGCTGATGTTTTGGTTCTTTAATTCATTTCCTTGTGTTCAAGTAACCACAATCATAATTTTTTCATTGCTACTACATAACTGTAATATTGCTGCTATTATAAATCATAATGCAAATTATCTGTGTTTCCTGTTAGTCATTTGACTCTCCAAAGGATTCGAGGCTCACAGGATGAGAACCACTGCTCTAGAGCCTCTCTTCGCGCCGCCCCCATTCCATCACTGTGACTACAGGCATGTGCCCTGTACCTAGATCTCATGTAGGCCGTAGTGATTTAAACTCAGTTTTCAAGAGTTATACAATTAACTCCTTCATTCAGCTAAACTACAGAAACATTACTTCAGCCCCTCACTTCATATTTTATAAATTATTTCCTGTTTAATCTAGGCTGATGGTTAGTGTGAATACTGAACAAAGTTTGTCAAGTATTTACCAAGCATGGTACAAAAATGTATTAATGTAAGAGACACATACACACAATGATAAGTTAGGATTTATTTATTGCAAAGCATCAAAATGTGTCAACTTTTAAGAAATGACAGCAGAGAAATAATGGAACACAATATAGAGAATTATAAGATTATATACATTCTTAAAGTCTTAGAATGTAAATTGTTTTCTGCTTGACCTGTTTTTCAATGTGTTTGTTTAATTTAGTCCTTGCATGAGGCTGGGGTAATGTTCTTATATTTAAGATTTTGGTTCCTCAGGAAAACATTTCAGTAGAAGCGGGAGAATCCAAATCCTCCGTAGTAAATTGGACGGCGGTAGCCATCGCCGTAGCCTCCAAATCCAGAGCCATATCTGTAGCCTCCAAAGCCACATCCACAACCGTAGCCATAACCCAGGTCCCCAAAGCCTCTGTAGCCATAGCCCAGGTTCCCAAAGCCTCGGTAGCCATAGCCCAGGCCTCCATAGCCATAGCCCAGGCCTCCATAGTAGCTGCGGTAGTAGCTCATGGTGTCAAGAGTGGTAGTTTTGGTTTCTTGTTCAGGCACAGATCCTGAGTGTGAGTTTTATACTGTGTAGGGCATGTTTTTATACTTTGGCAGGGGCAGGTGACAAGTCATGCACATACCTCCCTTTGTGTCACTAGAGACGTTACTTGTAATGTGGCAACTCATTCCTCTGCTATCTCCTGACACGCAGAGGCCCTCATTCTCATTAAAATACTTGAGATAGCTTAGTGTTCTATTTAGAATGTCCTTGAAGTTATTGTTTAGTTTTATGAGAAGAAACGGTTGACTAGCCAAAATACAGACACCAAACTCTGAATAAAATGGCTTATTACCAAGAGTATTACATAAGCTACATGTGTTGGGAATACTTTGATGCATAATTAGGTAGTTCCGCTCCGTTAGCTCCCAAATTGATAACTTCATCTCCAACTACACCCATGTCTATCTGTTCAGCACACAGTTGTCAAATCCATACTTACCACAAAGCAAACCCTTTTATCAAAAAGAACAGTTTTGAAAATGCCTAAATTTGTGCTCTATGAAAACACTCTAATTCACAGAGACTCCATCCCCTTATTTGTATTTTAGACCTAGAAGCACAAAACGAAAACTATGTCCAATTTCACATTTTAGATTAATAACCTTCGTGGTAGTTTTATTTCATATCAGCTTCAATATCTTTTGGCTATAAAATATGAAATGAGCAGTTTTAGAAATCAAGAATGTGGTAGTTTTTCTCTAAACAAGACTTATCAGAGTCAGTGTGGGTTTTATTTCAAATCCCCGAACTTCTATCTGAAACTGTTCGAAGTCCTACTCAATGTGCAAGTACACCTGCCTGCTTGTTTCACCGTCTCAGCTGATTTCTTCCTTGAGTTCTTCATCTGTGCACATGTGATTTCCCTTCCATGACTCCTTCAGTGTCCTTTCTTCTCCCTTACCTCCCAGTGCACACCAGGAGAATGCCAATAGAAGACTGTACTGTGTCTTTGCTTTCCTTTCACTGTCACTAGTCAGTGCCTTTGTTTCTCTATCTCCTTTACAGTTTGCCCTGAACTGCCACCCTCATCTCTGTAATTCGTTGTCTGACCACTTATGCCTAGGTAACTTTTACCTACTCACAAACTTTAGCGTCACTAAGTTTCGCAACACACCATTTGTGAAGTTACATACTAGATACTAGGCTTTCCATAAAAATTTTAAACTTAGATTCCTTCAAGGCTTATAAAATGAAGACAAAATGGTAAAATTAAAAAGAATTGGTAAGTATATGGGAAAAACTATGATGTATCCCCATTAGACTCTCAGCTCACAGCATCATTAGGCAACTAAGTCTGAGGATGCCCGTCTCTGTTATTAATCTCAAGTAGCCCCTCTATTTTGATTTGGTTTTAAAAAGCACATTCTGCTTTTTATGGCTTTCTGCATGATCCTTTGTTATTGCTTTATTTTGTTTTTGTTCTGCTTTTTTTTATTAACCTGTGTTTGAGCAAAAATAAATTTCCTGTAATGAACATAAACAAGTAACTAAAGACATAAACTTGGAATTTAGGATTCCATCAAACTTTATCAATTGGCTAGTTATTTACATATTTTTAATCACTGAAAAATATTATTAATGACCTCACCACAAGCTTAATGAATTCAACAAGAAATAAATAAGACCTGGGCTTTCAAAATTCTCTTTGAATTTTTATAATTTTAAGTGTGTGCACGTGTGTGTGTGTGTGTGTGTGTATGTGTGAGAGAGAGAGAGAGAGAGAGAGAGAGAGAGAGAGAGAGATTTCATGGGTACCGAGGCCAGAAATTGCCACTAAGGTCTTTTAAATCACTTTCCATCTTATATTTATATTTGAGCGAGGGTCTCTTACAGAACTTAGCAATTGGCTAGAGTGTGTGGTAGGTGAGTGCCAAGAACGCTGCTATATTTCCCTGCCTCTGGTTCTAAAGTTACAGATGCGCACCACCATGTCCTGCTTCTAACGTGAATGCAGAGGATCCAGGTTCAGGTCCTCATGCTTGCTTACTAGGCAGTTTCCAACTGGCCATCTCCCCAAGCCACCAAAGGCTCTCTTAATGCTAAATAAGAAAAGAAAATCAAATTTTCTTTAATGATTTGCTTGCTGAAATACACTCATACTGCATGTGATAACTTGGAAATTTATCAAAAATGATTGATTAAAACTGAAGCAAGACACAGAAATCCCAAAACAATGAATAACTTAAAATTAAATTTGGATTAAAAAGAAAACTTCTAGAAAAGAAAACCACAAGTTAGCATTACTTTTGTGATAAACTTTATCAACTATGTAATGTAGAGAAATTATCCACAAAATGTTTCAATAAAAAACCCAATTTTTAAATTCACTATGCAAGATCCAAGTAAAATTAAAGTCTAAAATACAAATTTATCAATAAATATGGAATCACAAAATATAACTAGAGATAAATATAGCAAAGGATGTGGGAGAAGTGTGGCCTAATAGTTGTGCATTTTTTCCAGAAGAGTTTCAAGAAGACCATTAAAATGAGGATGTATCATTCCATAAACTTTTGAAAAAAATGCCAAAATATCTGAATAAATGAGTAGATTATATTATGCATATCATACATTAAGATAGTTAGGTAATCTGGGCAGTGGTGGCACATGCCTTTAATCTCAGCACTAGGGAAACAGAGGCAGGCAGATCTCTGAGTTCGAGGTCAGCCTGATCTACAAGAGTTAGTTCCAGGATAGACTCCAAAGCTGCACAGAGAAAGCCTGTCTCAAGCCAACCAACCAACAAAAGAACAAACAAAAAAAGGTAGCTAGCTAAAAGAGAGTACTAAGGACTTTCTGAGGAGATTACTAGAATTTAGTTCAGTGTTACATTATGAAGCTTCATATTGCTGCTTGATATATATTTCCTTTGAGTGATTTAGACGATATAGGTATTAACTAGAGGTCACGTGGTCAAATTAATTAATTTCTAGACTATTAATAACTAGAAATCAGAGGTTATAGTATTCAAAAGCCATTGTTGTAAGGTAGAGCTCACATCAACATAATTTTTATTAAGACTTTAGCAAGTCTTATGACACATTAAATGCTTTGTGACTACCTTCAGTGATGATTGATAGGTTTCTGGGGACTGAAAGTGAGAAAATGAGGCTCTGGAAAAGACCAGCTATTGCTCTCTGTCTCTTGAACTTCAGTTATGATATTTATTTTCCATTGACTTAATAAGAATAAATTGTATCCTCAGAAGAAAAACAATTGCCTTTATCACAAATGCTATAAGAAGGATGAACAATAAGATATATGACTAAAGTTAGGAGCACATTGCAATGCCACATTAAACATATTTAATGGAAAATGATTATAGAGATATTTCCCAATGTAAAATATACTGCAAAAACTTCAGATGAAAAATTGCTATCGTGAGAGTGAAAGGAGAAATAACTGTTGTGTTAAAATATCCAATATTTATGAAATAACTCTAAATTACTATTGAACAGCTGTATGTACACTGACAGCTCTTAAATCTTACGCCAACAAGCTTGTAAGTGCATAATTCATCTTCTCTGCCTGCTATAAGTAGGAGATGGATTGGATACAACAGAACCTCAGAGACCCTGGATTTTTCTAATGGATGATTCTCTCAACAATCTTAGATCCTAACTCGGGAGCAGAGATCAAAGGTCCTGTACTTTCTAGTAAAAAAAAAATAAGTGAAATAACAGTTTCTAAAAACACCAATCCAGTGTCATATCTGGTCTGAAGAAACGGCCCCACTACTGATGTGTCCCAGGTAGCAAAAATTGATGCCAGAATAGCTGAGGGTACGGAAATGAGGTTGGAAACTGAAAACTATTTTAGCATCTTCAGTGATAATGTGGCCAGTCTTGTATGTGTGTGTGTGTGTGTACTCATAACTATATTCTTTAAAACATCAATAATTGATTTTAACAATATGTGAGGATTTGTCCACATGACTATTAAAAAGTCAATTAACATCTACCACTTGCTGTCTTTGGTTGTGCTTTTACTTACAATATGTTGATTTTGAGTACAAATTGGTATAATTATGTCATTTAGAGCTTCCATTTACTACAATTCTCAATAATATTTCATGTATTTTTCTTATGGGATATCTTCTACATATTTCTAAACCAGTGGTTCTTAACCATCCTAGTGTTGTGACCCTTTAACACAGTTCCTCATATCGTGGTGACCCCAACCATAAAATGACTTCATTGATATTTAATAACTGTAATTTTGATATTGCTGTGAGGCGTACTGTAAATACCCAATATGCAGGATCTTACATGTGTGACCCTCACAGAGAGTGAACGGACAGACAGTCATGGAGCCTGCAAGTTGAGAACGGCTGTTCTAAGTGATGATGACAGGACTATTCACCCATAAATTACTAGGAGCTTATACACTGGATTTTAAAAAGAGGTTTTGTTCTCACTGAATGGGTGGTTTTCAAGGAAAAACAACAAACAACTTCATTTACCTTGTAAGGCCCATTTCAAATGTATTGGACTTTAGCTTTCTTCTACTATTTATTATATTAAGATTTCTTTAGGTGGGACTCCAAGGACAGTTTAGTCTCCATTAAATTTCATATAAATGTACTACAGGTGTGTACGGTTGTGGTTATATCAGCACTACATAATAATGTTGAGTAGATTCTGTACTGAATTTATTTTCAGCTGTTGGAAATCTACCACAGAACAAGTGTTGAGGAAGAACCCTCTCCCACCAAATGAATGAACCTGTGGAGGCTGGAAAATGCAGCCCATTTCCACCTTGTCTGAAGGCCAGAGAGTTTGGAGATTGACAAGCATAGTTGCACATCCCAACTCAGGATGTGATTGCTTGGTTCTTTTGAAATTAAGATAAGTCCATGCCATCCTAAGAGATGGTGAGGGTGTGCAAACTTGCTTCTGCTTCTTCTTTTTAACTATGAGGTCACCTGGGGAAGGGCAGTCTTCAGAATATGTGACCTAGA